ACAATGAGTTTGCTTCTAGGAAACAATTCGTTATAAATGAGAAAATTGCCGAATATAAAATTCCAAAGGCTGGTTAAAATAACCTCTCACATTAATAAATTCAAACTTTTAAATCATTATTTTCAATTTCCCAAAAGTTATTATGAAAACGAACTGTTTGACTACCTGGCACAAGTATTTTCTTTTCAAGTTAATTATGAAGAAAATTGAACTGCATTTTTTACAAGTTTTAAAAGCAAAAAAAAAACATGCGGATGGAAAAGTATAAGATGTTGTATAATAAAGTACGTATAACATAAAATCGATTAATAAGTTCTTACTAGAACTAAAAACCCGTAACTTTTATTTAAAAAATGATTCATTAAAAAAAATTGTATACTTGAATAGTATTTGTTATTTTAAAATTATATTTGAGTTGAAATGAAAGAAATCAGTATCCTTCGTATCAGGGCGGTTCTTAAGGGGTTACATGGGTTTCCTCGAGCAAAAAACGGCATTTTTTCAATTATGTTTTTTACATATAAAAAATGAAATATTTTAATGATTTTTTTTTATTTAAAAGATACATGTTTAATAAACATTTTGTAAAATTTTCAAAAAAAAAAAACAAAATCGCGGTCATTACGACGCCATTTCCGGCAGTCCCTCGGGAAAAAGATGCCTCCGCGTTGTGAGCAGAACTTCTTTCAGGATCATCCGAAATAAAAATAAAAAATACGTGTTTTAGTAAAGACAATTAACTAGGTGTTGGACGAAGGAAAAAAGAAAAAAATGAAAATTGGATTTTTGGCAGACATTTTTATAAAAAAATGCAAGTTTCGATTAAAATTTCTCGACATTTTTTTTTAAATACAAGTTGTAATTAAACAAAAAGAAAATCCTTCGTCCAATACTTTGTAAACGATATCTCGAACAACTGTGTGAAATTTCATCAAGATCAGTTGAGTAGTTTCTAAGAAATCTTGACAACCGTCTTTGAAAACGTAGTTTTGAGAAAAACGCGTTTAAAGTAAGAAACAATAAAGATGGACCTCAAGCGTCCACCTTTTCAAAGCTGTACCTCTGAAACTATTAGTCGGATCAACTTAAAAATTTAGGACAATATTCTAGAGATGTTATAGAAATTAATAAGACAGAAAATTTTTTTTGATTTTTTGAAACCGTGAAACCCATGTAACCCCTTAAACGTTTTCATTTCTGAAACTATAATAACGAATTCGATTCCGTGATGACAAGAGTGAGCACATGTCCCACTTATTTCCCGTTCCAAACATTCTTACCTTCGACGGCGGCTGCTGGTACGTGTGAACCACATGCAAGAGTACCGTTACGCGACTTACCCAACATGCTATAGTTTATGCCCGCGCGATCCGCTAATAAAATACGCACTCGACGAACGAGCTTATATCCCAAGACCAATTCTTCATCAATTTTGAGAGATTTTAAGAATCTTTTTGAAAAGCAATTGGTTATTAGCCAGTTAACTGTGGCGCCTTCGTTCGAAAGTGCACACGTTTTCATGCCATCAAAACCGAGTCATAACGAATATATTCTTGTATCAAGAAATTGGATGAACAAGATTCGATTATTAACTTCCCGCAGGTTAAGTTATAGTAATCGCAAAAAAATCTAAAATGAATCTTTACGTTTCAGAGGTTACTGAACATTTTGGCATACCTTAGAAAAAATGAATGTATGTGTGTGTGTGTGTGTGTGTGTGCGGATACAAATTTTCGTCGACGATTTCGGGAACACGGTTCAACCGATTTCAATTATTCAAATAACATTCGATTGCTGTTGATAAGGAGACGTGCTGATTAGTTTTTTGCGTAGGCAGGTCTAGCCGTTTCAAAGATACGGGGCACAAAGTACCATAAACGATAACTCACTTTTTAAGAGAACGCGTCCGATTTTATTAATTCAAAAAACATTTTACTTGTATTGACAAGATGAAGAACTGATTGAGTTTTCATAAAGGCAGGTCTAGCGGTTTCGGAGATCAAGTAAAAAAGTAAAGAAAAAATGCCATTTGGCGGTCAAAAATGATCATTAGACATATGAACATCAAATTATCAGATATTTTATAGAGATTTTAACAATAAGTATAAGTTTTGTTTACATTCCTATGGGTTCCGTACCAATGTTTATCAGTTAGATGGCGACGCGGCGCTTACGAGCTTCGATATTTCGTCTCTATGCAGTTAAAGCAGTACGATTGCTTTGAAAAAAAGTTCAGAATTTCAAAACATTTTTTTTCAGTCTTTTTTTTTTAAAAAAGGTAAATTTTTGTCAAAAATTTATAGTTTCTCAAAAATCTAATTTTTTCTAAGTAATTTTTTTCAAAAATGTTAATCTTTAAAAAAAAAATTGGTACGGGAAGTTACAGCAATTTGCCTTAAGCCATGCACCCCACTAGTTTTATGAAATTAAAAAAAAAGTTTTCCTTAAGGAAAATTTCTGGAACTTGTACCGTAATTCAAAATTTTTAAAGGCTTTATATTTTTTCTAAAAATCTTGAAAAATTAGATTTCTAAGAAATTTCAAATTTTTGACAATATTCGACTGTTTCGAAAATTATAATTATTTTTTAATTCTATTTCACTCAACTCGGTTGAACCATATAGTCGAGGGATATTTGTTTGAACTACATATATATAAATTAGCTTCAAATCTTAATACGAAACAAATATGGTAACAAACACTGTACGTATTATTAAAATCTCTATAAAAAAAAGAGCCTGATAATTTGATGTGCATATGTCTAATGAGTATTTTTGACCGCCAAATGGCTTTTTCTAAAAACTTTTTTCCTGGATCTCTGAAACCCTTGACCTGCCTAACCAAAAATTTAATCAAATCGTCACTCCGTCAATCAACACAAGTTCATTGTTATTTTAAATCCGGTCTTTCAGCAACATATTGCAGTTTTTGCTGGACCTAGCTTTGCGAAAAACTAATCAGCACATCTATACCCATCAATAGAAATTAAATGTTTTTTGAATCATTCAAATCAGTTGACCTGCGCTCTGGAAATCGGCGACGAAAATTTGTATACGCAAACATACACATACATCCATTTTTTCTAAGGTATGCCAAAATGTTCAGAAACCTTTGAAACATGACGGTAAAAATTTTCATTTTCGATTTTTTTTCGATTACTATAATTTGCCCTACAGAAAATTAATTATCATTTGATAAACTCATTCCTTTGTTCATATTTTTTACAAACATTTTAAAAAGCGTTATAATCCCACATAAATAATATTTTATGAAAACTGGTACAATAGTTTTTCAACAAACAGTTTATATTTTCTATTTGTTTTATTCCTGTATAGTCTTCAAAATATTGTACAAAGTATTGTAAATATTGTATTGAAAATATGAAAATAAAATATCTTTTATCACTTTTATTTGATGTATTGCCCTGAAGATATTTTTATATATATATTTTCCTTCACATATTTCAATTATTAAAAAGAACTGGGTAATTAAAAACACTAATTCAATGAATCCATATGTTTTGGTCTACTACTTCATGACATCAGTCATTCAGAGGAAAAAAATGTTTAATCTCCAACAACAGTACGGTTTTAACTTTTTAATAAATTTTTATTAACTACCATGATACTTGCATAATTTAACTTTTATTTCAATGTAAGAATTAAAATTTACTTTGACTGTTTAATTAGTTTAATGATAGTTTTGCAAATATATCTCTGTAAACAACAGTCTTATAAGATCTTATCATCACTCAAAATTACGTAATTCTATGATTGTTTTTTTTTTTCATTGAATGATGGTCTCGGCAGATGGATATGGATTTAATAATGTTATGATTTTATTTACCAAGTTTAATTGGTTTTATGCTCGAACAAAATCATCTGTATGTGTGTGTGTGTGTGTGTGTATATATATATATATATATATATATATATATATATATAATGTATATAAAATTATATAAACTTACTATATATCGACAAAACCAGTGCACAATATATGCAAGCAACCCTTAATGCAAACGCTTAACATAATTTTTTGACCTCATTCTCTTTAGAGGTACTCCTCTCATCATCATATCCTGTACCATCATTCCTGCAAAACAAAACAGCATTAGTAACATTTATATAACATGTTTTAATCCCTGACATTTTGTAACTGAAAATAAAGTGATTCATTTAGTGTATATCCTTTAAAAGCAAGAAAAGTCAGGTAGGTCCAAATACAACAACCTGAAATCACACATTAAAAGGAATCTTTAGGAATTCGGAAGGATTATTTGGTAGATTTACGGAAGAAGGTGGTCAGAAAAAAAAACTATCTGATTTCCACGCATTTATTTCTCCGAAAATGGAAATTGTAGAAGTCATCCACAATTTTTATTGATTAAATAGCTATTTTTCATTGCCAATAAAAGAATAAACACTATTATAGTCACTACATACATCTGCAATATTTGACACAGTTTACATTTGAAAACTTATAAATGGCCTTTTTCCATCATACTAACATATATATCATATAACTAATATACTCATAATATAAGATTTTATTTAAATTAAATGTGTAACAATATTGATGTAAGTAATTGAACATTTCATATTTGGAAACATTTTTGTCATATTTACATGCACTGTTATAAAATGCACAATAAAATTATTCTCAAAATTTTAATGCATAATAAAAGAGCGATATATCATTATATAAAAAAAATGTTTCCACATTGATGTTCCTTGTAACCATATCCATGAAGAGGGAATGTATAATTACACATAATATGAAATCGAGAGTTATGTATATGATAGCTTACATATATAACAGTTGTAACAAGAGACATTTTTAGTTCCATAATTATCTAAATAGCAAAACTATGAATTAAAACTTAAATTGTATAAACATAAAACTTGAATGATGGAAATCATGGATTTAAAAAAAACTTGTCACAGTTTATTATATTACAAAATTACTTATTTTAAAGTATATTATTGCAGCAAGGTCTTGAAATATATATGTACAGTTCAATTTTAATTTATGTACAATCAAGACTTATAATGACAATCCTATATAGCCAATGCAATTATAATGCTATGCAGTTGGGATCATATGGGACATATAAAATATATACAAAGCTTCTGATGTTGATCACCACTTAATTATAAATATAGCTCGACTTAAATTAGTTTGCTGTGTTAAAATTATCATATAAAATAATTACCTAACTAAATTATTTCTCAGATTTTTTTAAAATTGTTCATAATGATATCCCTACCAGAAATATATTCTATATTTATTATATTTTAGGTCGTTTAGACACTAATGTTGCACCACTCGTTTTGGATTCAGGAACTTGGCGTTTTTGTGCTACCTTAGAAGCTAATTCTAGAGGAAGATAAACGATTTTATTGTTTTTTTTTTTTGTTTTTTTTTTTTAAAGTATCGACATCTGCCTAAATATTATAAATTAGATAGATAATAAACTTACCTTGGAGCCACCTAACTTGCGTCGCTGGTCCATACCCTTTTTCATTACGAGCAGCAATTCGGAAAATAATGGCAGGTTTTGTGCTGGTGTCAACATGTGCAGTCACTAATGATGCATTAGGCACTACACATTGATTTGTTGATCCACAGAAAACCCTTACAAATGCCAGCTGAAAAAATATATTTTGTATATAAAACAAAATAGAAAACGATTTCACAAAACTAAAGATCTCAAACTATTATACATTATATAAAATTGTCTTGTGTATATATTATATTTAAAATAATTAGCAGCTCATTTGTCAAAATAAAAAAAGGGTAAAGAAAAAACAGTTGAGGTTTAGTTATGTGTTAATAATTTTTTTAAACTATTTTCAGTGTTTTAAGTTTTGTTTTTGTCCTGGATGGTATGTATATTTCCTCTCATTATATATTTCATAACTAATTTTTGAATATTTTTCTTCATTGCAATAAAGTATTTTTGATTTGCGAATGGCACACACATCAAGTGTCAAAATTATTAAAAAATTTATTAAGCTTTTTTATTTTGATATTATGTAAAATATTTTGTTGGAATCATTAATAGCAATCAAAATATTTTTTTAAGCCATTACAAAAAATAAACATCTTGTACCAAATAAAACCAAATATTTTAATATTTTATACCTTTGGAGGAGGAGAATTTTGTGACTTTACTGCTAAATAGACTGAATATTCAATAATAGTATCCGAATCATTTGTAGCCGGTGGCGGCTCCCATGATAAGTGAGCACCTTCAGTTGACTTTGAAATTTTGATAGCTGAAGGTGCTCCTGGATATCCAGGCAAACATGTTCTAAATGCTGAATGCTAGAAAACATAATTAATTATTTATTCATAGGCAAACCATAATCAATATTATTGAATACTATTTGAGGCTCTTGTCATATTTTAAATTAATATATCAAAAATAAGAAAAATAATGAATGACATACTTCACTCCATTCGCCACGACCGCACACATTTATTGCAGCTACTCTAAATTTATAAGCAGTTCCTGGTTCTAATTTTATCTTTGGAACATTTGTCAGATCTGGTAAATTCTCCAAACATAAGTTATCACAATCTATCATAGTTTGTTTACTATCAATGAAATTCTGAACAATGCAGGTGGTTCCTTTAATAATACCAACAGTACTCCATTCACCTTCAGAGTCAACTGACTTCTTACTTACAACAGAAGTGAATCCAGGGGATTGATTTTGATGTTCCTGAATCTAAGAAAAATGAAATAAATCAAATATTTCAGAAATTGAAATTTGTTACAGTACTGTAAATTTAAGCAATTTTCTTACCTTGAGACAATTATCATCAGAAACATCATTTTTTGTATTGCTACTACAATTCAAAGCTGCTGAAGCAAGAGTACGAAGTGGAGTACTAACTTCAGTAGAGTTTTCTTTTGTAATTGCCGTGGTACTATTGAATACAGATTCATTGCTCTTTTGCACTATAGACGATGTAGTTGTAACGGCCAAAATATTAGATGAATCCTCCTCCTAAAAATATAAATATATACCTAAAATTATTAAACTTCTACATTTCTTACATGTATCAAATAAATTATAGAATTAAAATTTATAAAATAAAAACCAAATTTAATTTGATTTTATTTAACCAAATTTGTTATGTAATTAAAATAAATAAACAGATAATTATTAATAAGGTTAAGTTATCATTACAGGGTTGTCACATTCCATCTTTATATCATTTAATAATCGAGTATCTAAATCTCCTTGTGCGCTTATTGTTGGGTTATCTTCTTGATTAGGTTCACTGTCAGTAACTTTACTAGGAGTATCATTCATTAGAACATCATTTGTACTTTGCATCTAAAAATAAATTTTGATCAGCATTGGAGAGATATATAGTCAATAATTAGGTAAAGTACAATGATTGCACTCACTTCATTATATACAGACTCTGTAATATTCAGTGGTTGTGCACTTGCCTTTTCACTCTCAGGCGCCGCTTCACATTCAGAGGGCATGTCACTTGCAGATACCGCAGGTGTTTCTGGAGTATTCATATCTGATAGCACAGGTTCCTGGGGTATTTCCTCAGGGACCTCAGACATATGTGGAACCTCAGGTACTGTGGATACGGCAGGCACCTCAAGCGTCCTAGCCTCCTCAGAAGCATTAGTGTCTTTAGATTCTATAATTTGGTCTTGAACCATTGCTTCAGATGATTCTTGAATTGGTGCTAGATCATTCAAATGGAGTGAATCTGCATTAATATCAGATGGATCAAGCTTGGACTCTTCACCCAAAGCTTCAGCAACACCTTTATAATATAATAAATTTTAAATGTGAATATTAACCAAAAGTTTCAAGTATTTAACCACATTAAATTTAGTTATGAAACCATTACAAAATATAAATTTAGGTAGTAATAGACATTAGGAAATTTGTAACAAAAAAGACAAGTATTTAGAGAAATTATGATCTTGTTGATTAAAATACTTTTAAATATATTAATTGCACTATTGCTTACCAGGTTCATTCAGCTTCTCAATTTCATCATCTTGTTGCTTTTTTATGCCTTTATCAGTTTCCATAGTGCTTTCATTTATCTCTGATTCTTTATCAACTGTACTTTCTCCAGCATTACTTGCATCAATTCTATGTTCTGTATCATTTTCATTTATGCTTGATGACATATTGTCATCACATGCATGATTTTCTTCAGAATTCATGCTTTCTGACAGATCTTGATCGTCCACCTTTGTTGAATCAACATTAGAATCCTCGTCATCAAAATTAGCAGAACCACCATAAAGACCTAACTTCCTGTATCTTATCCTAGGACCGTCTTTTCTAAAATATGGCGAAAGATGTCTGTGATCTTTGTTAAATGAAGTTCTAATTGGGCCACCACCTTTGAGCCCAAGTTTTTTATATTCAATACTTCCACCTCGGAGTCCCATCATATTTGATACATTCATGGTTGAATCCAGATGCATTTGTTCACCATTTTCAGATAACTCAGAATTTAAACTATCGTCTTCACCCTATAAAAGGTGATAATGTAAAATTTGATATAAGTATATAATTTATCATTTGATATACCGTGTTACACTGAATTCCCGAGTTTTGATCAGCTATAACACTAGAATTAGCAGAACTCAATAAACCTGTTTCGGCCGCTAAGGCTGCCAAAGCAGCATCTGTTGTAGCAGGTACATCATTGGAGGTTGTTGAAGCTGAATTGTAAGTTTGAGTATATAAATAATGCAGTAAGAAATTTTTTTTGCTTTTCACAATAAATAATGCATTTTTCATCATACCTATAGACATAGATGTGGAAGGTTGCCTATTGGTTCTAATCATCATAATTTTAGGCTTATTGGAACCATCAGCTTGGTTGACAGTAATTTGTTTCAGGCCACCTGTAACTTGTGCACCAGACACAAGTTTGACAGTTTTGGGACCACCAGTGCCCGGAGCTAATTGAACCGTCACAGGCTTGCCACCAATGGTAATAGATTTCTGTAAGTTGTATGATCAATACCTGTCAATAACTTTTGTGCTACTTTGGGTAAAATATGTATCAAATACTTAGTTTTTTGCAGATTTCACACATACAACTATTACTATTAGACTAATCATGTTATAAATTTCATTCAAATAATGTCGATGAAAATTATTTTTGACAGTACAATTGCAAACAATTCTGATTAAAATCTATAAAGCTAGTACAAATCTAAAACTGTACAAGTGTGATTTCAACCAGTGCTATTTATTTATCACACATGTTCTGATGCATAAATTACATTGACATTACTGACACCAGTACCATGTATTAATTATTACTACTTCAGTGTTAATGGTTGGAAGTGTAAAAAATAAATGTTCTAATAAATGTATCATACATTTGTTCACATTCAAACAACTGAATCAAAACTGCTAAACATAAACAATTAAAATAAAAGAAGCTGATCAAATATGCTGACCTGATGTAAGCCTTGCTGAGGTAACACTATTTGACGAGGTGCACTTTTAATTATGGTTCCAGTACTAGGAGTTATAATACTAGATTTCGATAATGTAATGGTTTTGGTTTGCCCTTGACTGCCAGCCACTGTTAAAGTAATTGGTTTTCCAATATTTTGTTGTGCAGAACCACTTGCTGTACTTGAAACAACAATCATTTTTTTTACTGTTTGGTTTTGAATTGAAACTGGACTTCCTACAGAAGAAAAAATATAAGTAAGAAAAAATAAAAGTAACTTTAAGGTTCAATTTTGAAAGAGTATTCACCAGAAGACAACTGCGAAGAGGCTGCCTGAATAGTTTTAGCTCCACTTGGTATAACTTGCATTACTTGACGACCACCGACTGCACTACCAGTTTGTTTTAAGACAAATGTTGGTTTTCCACTTCCAGAAGCTTTACCCATTGAAACAATAGACGGAACACCTCCTTTTATTGTTTGTAATTGTGCAACCTTGTTACCTATGGCAATTCAATACATTTTAATAATTTGCCCAAAAAAATTTATGTTCATTATTAATTTACCTCCAACTGAATTTGCTGAAACAAATTTAACAATTGTAGGAGAACCTGTCGTCTTACTAGTTTGAACTTTGCATTGTTGCAGTAAAGGTGTGCTTGTTTGAACCTTTGGCATCTAAAATTTATTCATATGATAGATATAAATAAATATAAATATTGCATATGCAAAACATAAATATATAAAATGCCTTACAGTTTGAACAGCCATTCCTTGACTAGTTTTTACCAATGTCACAATTTGCCCACCAGCACCTTTATTTTGTACCACTTGGAATTTGGCTCCAGGAGGCAGCTGTTGGACATTAGCAGTTCGTACAAGAGTGCCTATTTGACCAGCAAATCGCACTGGTTGACCTATTTGAAATTATTAAAATTTTAATTTTAATGTCAATTTAAAGTATTATGTAAAATTAATATGTAGGTAATTAATATGTAAATGTAATATGTAAGTAAATTATTAGAAAATGTAATAATCCCAAATATAAAAGAATTTAAATAAATACAAGCATGCTTTGTCCACTTTTATTGAATAAAAATAAACTGATTCCAAAAATAAATGGTACCTGGGCCGACTGGAACAACTTTAGGGGGCTGCACCATTCTAACCTGTGTGCCTCCAGTAGGAGTAACAACATTAGACATTTGAACTGTGGCAGGACCCGGGCTTGCAATTTTTTTAGTTGCCGCTGCAGCTGCAGCCAATGCCTAAAATGATAAATGTACATAAAATAATAATTACAAATAAGAAAATAGCAAAATTTTTGAACCTCATACCTGAATCCCAGTTAGTGACTGTGAAGCTGAGACAGCAGTATTTGTATTTATTGTTTTTGAACTGTTCAAAGATGCAGACATTGTTGCAGGTGAAGAAACCGGGCTAGTTAGTCCTGCAGGTTCTTGTTTGACCTTTACTGGGCTAAGTATTTCCTTCTTTATATCACCAACGGGTATTTGTTTGCGTATTTGTACAAATGATACATCATTTTTTTTCACTGGTGTTGTTATTTCAGTCTTAATTTTAGTGGGAACAGCTTGATCAGCAGGCTTCTGAACAATTTTCAATAAACCCCCCTTTTCATGAATGGGTGACTGTTCTTTCAAGAGAATTGTACCTTCTGGAACATGAGCACCTAAATCATTAGTTTTGATTAATTAATCACGATGTAAACCTCTTATAATATATCTTGCTTATTTACAAAAATATTGACTTCAAAAACTAAAATATTTTGTACATATCAATATTTCTTAGAACAATATACACTATTAAATTTAATTACCTTTATTTTGTACGGATAAGTTGTTATTTGAAACGGCCATCTCTGCAGATTTGTTCATCATGTTGTCTGGTGCAGGGCTGCTTAACAAATTGCTATTGAGCAATTTTTCATTTTCTTTTTTAACCTTTGAAGCATTAAGAGAATTAGGTGAGTCATGAGGTGTATCATATCTTTGAACCTGAGAACATCATATTCCAAATTACATGTAATAACACAGTTTTATGCTAACTAGTGATAGTACCTGTAGTACATATGCTTGTGCTGTTGGTGTTCCAGTCCAACAAACCTCCAAAGCATGTGTTGAAGATCGAACCAAAGCAACTCGACCTGCTTGCGAAGGCTTATCCACTTCCAAAAACCATAAATCTTTGCAACACACCTAAAATAAAACATGTCATAAATAATCCTTTTATTAACCCTAACAGTGTGGAGCAATGCAGAATGATTTTTAAAAGTAAAAAAGCATTTAGCAAAACAGCATAATATAAATAACTTCATTGCATATAATGGTATGCTACCAACTACAGTTTAATTAAAATGATTTTATTGGCAGAGCAAAATATGTGAAGCTTTTAATGACCAAGTATCTTGAACAAAATAGTATATAGTACAGTAGAAAAGTTCAGCTATTGCAAGTAGTCCAGCCCTAAAAAGTAAAAAAATCAGCAATAGGTTGAATATTATCCTACATGGTGAACATACAAGAATATACAGTGGCTATATTATATGCCAAATTACAACAAAAAGAAAAAATTCAAACTCAATAATTACTATGAAAGTTAGTAATTTGAATCTGAGCTCACCCTAACCTGGTTGTTCCAGGCCTTTCTAAAGCCATCTCGCCCAGACCATACATACAACCTGGTGTGAATTCCTACAGCACAATGGCCTGCCCTAGCATCAGGAACATTTTCTTCAAAAGAATCCATTCGAATATCTTCCCATGACATAGTATCTGCAAGTTTAAAATATTTTAAATGATTAGCTAAATTAAATGCTATAAAAACAGCATTAATGATTTAAAATAATACAAACCTATATTCAAACATGCAAGTGAATTGGTGCATTTCCATTCCTTCTCCAAGTTTGATGTTTTAACATCATCTAATAAATGAGGAACCCAACCCCCAAAAATATACATTCTATGTCCAATTAAAGTAGCCGTATGCAAAGATCTAGGCAAAGGAACCGTACCACGAATGAAGGGTTTACTCCAATTGTGCGTATCTGAAAATTTTAATTATTTTTATTTTATTTATATGAATGCTACAAAATTATAAAGTGGAATATCAAAATTAGGTAATTACTTGTATCAAGAAACCAGAGATCTCCCAGACGACAACCACTCATACCACCATAAATAATTAAGCAAGATTTATTTCTCTTTTTGTCAATATAAGCAACTCCAGTATGGGATTCTCGAGGTGGAGGCCTATCTTCACTTGTGTCAGGAATATCCCATATTGGCTCATCTTTGCCCCGTAGCTCCAATGTATATAAATCATTTAGATATCTATAATCATTTAAACAAGTATAAAATATAAACTTGGATAAATCGACGATCTTCACATTATGAAATAAGAACTAAATATTCTAATTAGAATATTGTGTATTTACCTAGGAATATTATTTTTTGGGTCATCACTATCATTGGCTAAGCCTCCAAACAAATAAACCTTATTTCCTACAAGTGTGAAAGAATGACCTAATCTTGGACATGGTGGTAGTATTGAACTGTCCCTTGTAATAGGTTCTAAATGCCTCCATTCCCAACGTGAAGCCTTAAATGTATAAAAACAATGCCTTACTAGCAAAAACAAAAAATCTGCATTTTTATGTTGCACAATAATAAATTTATAGTTAATATTTATTATTAAATAAAGATAAAAGTAGCTCTAAAGTATGAATTATAACTTAGTATTTAATTATTAACAATGATCAGAAATACTTGCATTGACATCAACAAATTTACATTTCTAAATAACGGTTTTGCACTATTTTTCTTACCTGTAATTCATAAAGTTCGTTAGAATATTTCCCATACTCCACCATGCCACCAAATACCAATATTCGTGTACCATCTACTACAAAGCCATAGGCAGCACAGCCAGGAGGAACATCTCCTTTTGTTACAGGGACAAACCATTGATTTGTAGCTAAAGTATGAAAAAGTTATGTGATAAATTTTTATGTTCATAGCAAAAGGATTAAAACACAAAAACAATAATTCAATTTTTAAATTTTTTTTAATTTTATAATAATAAAATTTATATTAAATTTAGTTATGTATTACTATAAAGTAACTAATTTTATAATCCGATACTGTCATTTGCGCACGGTCATAAATACAATTTCATTTCGTGTCATATAAACAATAGCGAATATGTTTATAAAAGCGTATGAAAGCGGTATTAAAAGCTGTCGGCTTTCTTGGCAGCCATATTGCTTTTTGACAAAAACAAAATCTAATACACCTGAACTCGTATATTACACAATTTTGACTAAATCCAAGTATGAGAACGTACTAATTGAAATTAAATTTTCATAACATAAATATATTAATAATAACCTAACTCATTTAAAAAAAATACAATATACATCGCCATTGCAACAGTAAGCAAAGTATTACCTGTATTATAAACATGTAATTCCCGAACTATTCCATTATTTCCACCGCCAAAAACTACCATAAGATCCTTAATAGCAACAGCACGGTGTCCATGGCGAGGTCTAGGTTGAGGCCCGGTAGGGTTAACAACATTTTTCCACTTCAGAATTGTACCCGCCATTGCAACACATTTCTTCACTACACACTACTAGAAACCCCAAAATGCAACGCGTCTCTATTTAGCTTTAATATAATACACAACACACTGTTTACTTTTACATTGTACACATTCACAACCGATATACATAAAAAATAAACAAGACTGATTATATGTAAAACGCCTTTACAACAAAAATCAATCGGATAGCGACGGTTGATTTTTACCGCTTGAAGCTCAGATTACTTAGTTGAAGCCATTGCTAATGTTAACAACATGCACATATTGAAACTTATGTGTCAGTATTACCAGATCAACAGCAATCTTTTATCTAACTCGAAAAATATATCGATTGCGGAGACAGTAACACCAACTTCACAGTCGAAAGCCGCTCACAATAAATTGCACTTTACGCTTACGTATACTCATGAATTTCAAAACTCTTTATTATACGCTAGAAAAATACATAATTATTGTGATTATTATGTAATGCATTTCTCGCAAGTTAAACATTCAACATTGAAATCAATGTAAAATTATCGATACATGGGCAATATTCAACTCACTTCACTCTACATTTCTACACAGCAGAACAAGTATCGATTTAGAATACACATGAAGTGATAAATATATGGACAAAAATCAAAAAACAAAATACATAAGGCGCAACCACACTACCGAATCGTGGAATCTTTTTTGCAACGCCAAAATAATAATTATAAAAAAAACGAAAATAGGACCGAGATTAAAAATTAAATAAAAAAATCTTTTGAAAATTTTTAAATGTATATGAATACAACAATAGTCATTATATTCCACCAGCGATTCAATAAAAAAAAATGTTTAAAGAGATTATCTCAACATAATGATGAAACAAGTTTTGTAAACAATATTACATCGGGCAAAGTGAATTAGGCTTTTCTATAGAAAACGAAAATCGAAGATAGCAAAAATAACTTTTTAAACAAATAAACCTTTCCAACAAAATACATTAATTACTGCAATTAATAACTGCTCCAGCCGGATTCTTTTATAAAAATTGGTCCGATATTTGCTAAAAAAAACTTCATTTTAACAGAAAACGAATTTCCCCGTGACTTATCGCCTAGGATACTTACAAAAACACAATTCTCTGTCAGGACAATTTGTAATAAAATCTCAGTCATATACATAGATAAGTAAACATAATACCTTATATTACTGGCTATGTGCACAGTGCAAATTAGTACAAACTAATTAACACTGGCGCTACTAGTGTCTTTTATACCAGTCTATACCGTTTATATTACTCTAACGAGTAAAATTGTTATGAATTCAAATATGTTAATGTAATTTTCAATTTTCATAGACTACCTTTTAATTTTTAAATAAATTTTTATTGATAATGATAAAAAATCGTAATCGTTGTTGTAACTAGTCCGTAAATTAGCTACTTTTATATCTACTGGGAAGCTCACAGTCCAATACAGCAGTTCAGAAAAACTAGTGGTGCATGGCATCGGCAAATTGCTGGAATTCCACCAAAAATTAAATTAGAAAAAAATATATATGTTTTAAACTTAAAAAAATAGATTTTGAGAAATTTTAATTTTTTGAAAAAAATAATAATTTTTTGAAAAAAAAATGTTTTTATTTCAGTTTGAAATACTTTGAAAATTTTAAACTTTTTTCAAAGCAATGGCACTGCTTTAACTGCATAGAGACGCAACATCGCTGCGCGTAAGCGCCGCGTCGCCGTCTAACGGACAAACGATGATACGAAACCCATAGAAATGGAAACAAAATTGATACACATTATTAAAATCTACATAGAATATCTGATAATTTGATGTGCATATGTCTAATGATCATTTTTGACCTCAAAATGGCGTTTTTTTACTTTTTTTACTAGATATCCGAAACCGCTAGATCTGCCTTCACAAAAATTTAATCAGTTCTTCATCTTGTCAATACAAGTAAAATGTTTTTTGAAGTATTGAAATCGGACGCTCCGTTCTCTTAAAAACTGAGTAAATATATATAAATACCGTTTTTGGCACTTTATGCCCCGAATATTCAAAACATGTAGACCTGCTTATCAATAGGAATCGTCTCCTTATCAATAGGAATCGAATGTTTTTTGAATAACTGAAATCGGTTGAGCCGTGTTCCCAAAATCGTCGACGAAGATTTGTATCCGCACAAACACACACACATACATCCATTTTTCTAAGGTATGGCAAAATGTTCAGAAACCTCTGAAACGTAGATATATAAAAATTTTCATTTTCGATTTTTTTGCGATTACCTACGGGAAGTTAATTATAAATATGCCCTTCGCTTGTAGATTTATCTTTTAATATTGATACTAGAATAATATAACATTATAATTAATAGTTTGATTATAGCCCAACTCAATTTTTACCTGTCGGTGCTCATAAAAAATAAGAGAGGATATGTACTATATTTAAAATGACCATTTTATTAAATATTTACATTTTTTAATACACATTGTGGATTTTGTAATATACAATTAAATTTATGAATCTTCACATTATATGTGTGGATGTGAAAAAACTTGTGTAGCTGAGTGTATAATAATATAATTTATGATATGAAATATTTTATTCATACACGTCCTAACTTTATTATAAAAGAAACAACATTTTATATCAAAAACCAATTAATGTAGCCCCATTCAAATTATATATTATACTTTATACAATAGATATTCACAAACATTTAATACTCATTATTCAGCAATATAATATTAAACAATATACACATAATTTAATTAGTAGCACATATCCACGCTCGATATACATCTTACAAACTAGTTCAGGATTTTAATAAATAGTAACTATAAACACATTTATTACTATGAATACAAATATACAATTCAGATATAGAATATAACATTTTACAATATGGCTAATTTTTTTTAAAAAAATCAGGTTCTAATAAAATAAAATAATTCTGAAAACTATATCGTTTGTAAATGATCCTTTTTCTGAAATAACACGTCTGAAGCACTTCACATCAAAATACTTTACATCATAAGCGTTTCAAAGTAAAAAATTGCAACAAAATCACATTTCAATCGTCTAATGGTCATTTTCATCAAATTTGAAGATTATGAAGATAACCATAATAAGATGCATCATAACATAAAACAATTCTTTTCAAATTTATATATATATATATATATATATACATATAAATATATATATACAACTTCCAAATTGAATAGATATTTCGATTAATTAATTTATTTCTATCCTTGGTAAATATTTTGTGTCTACCTCGTTTATGATGACCTTTTTTGATAGCCCGACTGGAAATACTTTATCGTAAATTTTTCTTAGTTTATTTCTCTCAAGACCCACCTTATAAACGAAATTTTTATTTTTCACTTTGTGCTTAATATATTAATAATGTTTTGCTAAAAAAAAAACAAAATATGTTTTTGTAATACTTGACACAATGAAATGTAATTTTCAAATTGAATTCGAAGATATTATGGATATTGGTCCCCAATATACATGTATGTTATCTTAGAGCTAAAACAACTAGATTTTGCATGAACTTTATTAGAGTGTTTTGTTCTACACATGGCAGCATGATAAAAATGCACGATAAAGTATATAAACAGCCAAATAGACAATATCAAAATGTTTGTCAGAAATAAATAGAATCGAAAAATCTATAATCATTACAGAAACAACTTTGATATACTTATCAAAGAAAATTTTGATATACTCGTATATGACAAATATAGGCCAATCATGATCAATATCGTTATCGGTTCAGAATATTTGGTAAAAATAACAATAACGTTTTGACTCGCATATTTTTTGTCAAAAGATATTACAATCAAAGATTGGTAAAAAATATTATTGTTTAACCATATATTATTTAATATTCTCCATTTACCATTTTCAGTAAATCAGGAAAATCAAAACGTTGTACTATCACTATCTAGTTCACTGGTTATTTTTGCTATTAACCCACAAAAGGGAAAACAAATCCTTATATTATAAATTATTATCGCAACATGAATTATTAAATAATCACTGGTTCTACTCGCTATTTTGTAAATTTAATAAATTAACACATTTATTTATATTATTTTAGAGGTTATTCAATCACTTCTCAACAACACCACACGCACGTTTATCCTACTTTTTCATATCCAATCTCTCAATATTTTTCATAAAAACATATTCATAGATTACGTACTTTGGATTTTTATTATTACATATAAGTAAAGGAAACTATTTTGTATTACTCTAAATATGTAAACTTTGTTAAAGCAAAAATTAATCAAAAAACCTGCATGAAATGTTCTCGATCTCGAATTTTTATATTATACCAGTATTTTATATAAACTAATTGATCCCATTCGCCTATTATAAGATATGGCTAAGTGTCTCATTGCGGATAAGAGCGAACAAAGGTCTTTACAGAATGCTTAATGTTTTTAAGAGTAAAGATGTTATGCTTCAGCCAAAAAATCAATTTAAAACAAAAAATGCATGCAGGTTTCTTATCAAATCTTTTATTAATTTTTATTGAACATTATTAACCCTTTCGCTATGGTAATGTTTTCAGCAGGAGTGACGCTGCTGTACGGTACAGCGTGTCGATCAGTAAAAAGGTGATCATGCGTCCCTGTTTGGCCGGGAATGTCCCGGAATTCCACCTTATGTCTCGAGTTTGTTTTAATATGAATCATTACATTATGAATGAGAAAATTGCCGAATCAGAAAATTCTAAAGACGGGTTAATTACATATAATTGAATTCTAACTAAAAGTCCGCAATTCTGATAAAAAAATTTATACAATTAAAAAGACTGTTTTTATTGTATCCTCAAAAGGTATTGGTTATTTTAAAATCACATTTAGGTTATTTAGCATAAATCCCCTCCTCTCCGTCACGGATTAGCTCAACTAAAAACAGCGGTTCCGGTTTTGACTTAAAAAAAATATGGTCACCTGATCAGTAGCGCAACAGAAAAGACCAGGTAAAACAAAATATTTTAAGATTTCTCAATCCTTTCCCATAAAAATATGTTAAAAAATTAAAAATTACGCTTCTAACGAACTAAAAACTACAATAAAAAAATAGAATTCTAATAGTTAAACTCATGAGTGATAAATCTCGAAACATAGGCCGACACACAATATGTCGCCCATGGACCATACTCGAAGCGAAAGGGTTAAATGTGCTCAAAATAATGTGTTATGTCACTATATGCGTGACAAGCAAAATTAAATTATACTTTCCATATATTGAGTTATCCAATTTAAATGGTACAAACAAAAGTATCTTCCGATATAGTAATAAATTACCTACATTTACAGTACCATTTTATATTAAATTTTCCTATCATAAATTAGTCAATGAATATCAATTACGTAATATCAGAAAATGTAAGTTATGTAGTCCTAATTTCTGCAAGTTTGCTATTCCTTGTATCTCACACGCAAACTATGCTTTACACCACGTGTTTTTAATATCAGATCTAATTAAATTCTTTCAAAAATTATCACTTTCTCTTCGAATCAGCAAGGAATAAGTCTTTGATTTTAATTTAAAATGACAAATTATACCAATTATGTTAAGGGGTCGTCATTTGAGAAGCACTTTTACTGTGTAACTTGTTCGCTTCCGATGCTCTGCCGGCGAGCTCGGCCGTCACTTTTTCTAAGTTTAAATTTTTGGCAAGATTCTCATTTTTCTTAATATCTGATAACATAGAGCATGTGGTAGAAGGTACAGTATCCATAATATTCAGTATTTTCTTAGTTTCATCTTGTACTGGCGGTTTGGTTTGAGCAGGCCGAAAATTCAACGCCGATGGATTAGGTATGCTTCGTATAGATTGGTTCTGGGGTCTCGGGCTTGTGTTGCGAAGACCTTTGATTTCATTTAATTTTAATATCGTGTGAATTGGCTGTTTATGAGTCAACTGAGGATTTGTGGTCAGCTGTGGTATGCGCAAACCATGGGGTATCGCAGGTCGAACAGCAGTGTTGTGAATGGATTGTTTGATCGGCATTCGCGACACTGTCGTCTTACTTTGCGATAATATTTGCACTGCCGATTCAGAAAGCATTTGTAAATTTGACATTGGATTTTCCGTTGGCTTTTTATGTTTTGCAACGCCATTCAACATTCTGTTCGCTGCGGGTGGAGACGGAGAATTTGTTGGTCGCACATCCGATGTCGGACTCCTACTAGATTTTCCGGATAAATCCAAGGCTCCAATATTATCGCACATCGGATTATTCGCCTCAGGCGGTTTCTGTAGCGACGCGGAACTCGTCAGCATTTTTGCATTCGTCGTGAAAGTTTTATCAGCTGTCGAGAACGTAACAGTTTTAGCGACAGATTTTTTTATTCGCACCAAAGGTATTGTAGCGGGAGGTGGTCTGATCACTTTAGGAGTTGTCGTAACAACTGTAGATTTGGTAACAATTGAATTCGTTGCCGGAGTACTGGCAACAGGTTTAACTTCAACAGGCTTCACTGGCTCTGCTATTGGTTGTTGAATTTTATCTTTCTCCATTGAACTTGACCCAGAATTTGGCTTAGTTTGTACTATTTCACGCACTTGCTCTGATATCGTCGTTACGCTATTTGTGGGTTTGGGTGTTGTTACTTCTTTCGAGACAGAGTTAGGAGCTTCGATATCTAATTTTGGTTTACTGACTGGAGGTTGTTCAGATTTATTATCCGCTGTCGGAAAAGTTCGTTTGTTAACAGGTACTTCACTCGGCGACTTAATGTCCATGGAACTTGGTGCAGGTGACTTAACAGGCGATGATCTAGCCGTAGGTGTTTTCACCACTAATGTTTTCAGCGGAGGCGATTGTGTCGGTATACAGCTTTTACTAATTGTAGTTTTGATTGGCGGTGATTTCAGTGTGTTGAATTTTATTGGAGGTAGCTTCAAAGGTGGAGATTTTATTGATGTTAATTTATTAGTAGGTAATTTAAGTGGCGGTAATTTAATCATCGGAGTTTTCTCAGGTGCTGTCTGGAAAGGCGCTTTATCTAATAGTGGCATCGATGTACTTAAGCTTACAGCAGGCTGCGAAACCGGTTCCTGTTTTGCTGATTGCAGTACACTACTGACTTTGTCCTTTCTAACAGCTCGCATCTGTAACAACTTTTCTTTTGTCGACAAATCTTTGTTTTCGGCAACTAAGTTCGTCGTAACGTTTGGCTTATCAGCAGCTGGTGGAGGCGTAATCGGTTCAATGTGATACTTGTACTTATGTTTTGTCTCTGGTGTCGGCGTCAATTTGACCTTCATTTTCAAAGCATCCTCGGGAGATTCGGGTGAAGTAATCTGAGCGTGAAGTTTCCGTCGTTTGTATTGGTTGTCCTCGTTCTTAGAATGTTTCGCCTTCTTGCGTTTCCTATGAGTGTTGGTGTCGTCTTTGGCGTGGTGGCGTTCGTCGAGTTGCTTTTGGGCGGCCCATTCTCTATCTCGTTTCTTTGCAAATTCGACGCGGTCCTCGTCCAGTCGATCAGCTTTTTCCTCACGAAAGTCGTAGTGCGATGATCCATTTTTCACCGCCGTCAGACCAATTCGGGCAGCGTACTCTGTGAGTTCGACGCGCGGTTGCATATGCTTGTTTTCTGGATCGTATATCATCCGAGCTGGGCCCTCACGATGCTTTGAATGTGAAACATCTCGATGCTGCTTGCCAGAAGAATTATCTCTATTGTGTTTTATATGTGACGAGACTGAAGGACTGGGAGGTGAAGGCTGGGGCGACATAGGCGACTTAAACAGAGGCGCCAGTTTTGGTTTCGGAGCAGTATCTTGAGAATTTGTCGTGACTAAAGGAGGTGCGGCATCAGAACTTGCCGAATCTTCAGGTTCGGCTGCAGCACAAGCTATAGAATATGAAAACTCCATGGGTGTATCCTGGAAAGAACGATTTCATATCATAATATGTTTACAATGTTACGTAAATAATTTTAGTATTTTATTGTTGAGTATTGCAATAAAGTATTCATAGCTTTGAATGCAACTTACCCTTTGCCAACCGTAAATGTAAACAACGTCCATCAATGATAGCTGATGGCTCAAAGAATGCTTCTTATATTTGATTTCAATAGACATCGCAGGGCTGATGCTATATTTGTTTCGTAATAATTTTTCTAAATGGTTTATCGTTACTGCAGCCGGACATTGCAAATACCGTTTTTCCATTTTAGGTTTATTCTCAATTCTAGCATCTGTAGATTCATATTCCACAGAAAGACTGAAAAAGAAAATTATTATTCGGGTAAAATAAATTAAAGATTTATAATTTTCAAACATTACATTTGGCTCTAAACAATATCTTTTCTATTTTATATATCTATACTTTAAAATGATTACCATACAATGCTTATCAGATACTTTAAAAACTCAATAAATTTAAAGAATTTAAAAAATAAATAACATGTGCAAGTATGGTAAATGCATTTAAATGAGAATAGACCTAACCTCATAAGTTCATCTGGACAGATGAATCGAACATTATCTTCGACTTTGGCCAAATAAGTATTACTAAGGCCATGTTGCTTATAGAATTCTGCCTGTCTTTGTTGCTCCCGCCGGTACAGTCCAGGAACCATTTTGTATACACAACTTTGCAAGACTCTGTCCAGTCTAAAAATTAAAAATTCAATTATGACAAATCACAATAATAATAATAATAATAATAATAATAGTCAAATAATTAATATTAATTAAAAATAAAACTTACATCAGATTAGACAATTCTAAATATGGTTGCTGCTTATCACTTTGAGTTGATGCACTCGACAGACAGGTCGGACATTGCTTGTTCACATTTTTTATGTATTGAACAATACATGAACGACAAACTGCAAAGAATAAATCAAAATTGAATACTCACAAAAAATAAAATGTATGAAATCAGTTTGAATCCGAATATTGTATACTTTGTAGTGCTATCCACCCCTTTGTAATAATTATAAATAATATTATAAATTCTATGTAACAGTCAATATGAAAGACGCAGTATATAATATATACTGCCGTTCAGTGCACACATCGACTAACTCCGAAAGTCAGAAAGTGGAGAAAAGCAATAAAGTAATGTATATTGCTTTTAAAAATTCCTGTTATAATATAAATTGAAAAATATATTCGTAAAAACGTATAAATACATATACGAGGTGTGTTCAAAAAGTACCCGGAATTACTAATAATTAAATTTCGCGGGTCTGGAGTGTCTGATTGTCAAAATTTTTTTTTATTGTGTTGGTATACATGCCCCTAAAGTATGATGAAATTTTCAGCTATATTCACTGTTTACTTTGTCTGTGGTAGTCGCTAAGGTTCGACGTGTTTTTCTGAGCTCGGCGATTTTTACAATGGAAGAATTGAAAAGTCAAAGAATTTGTATTAAATTTTGCGTAAAAAATGAAATAAAGTGTTGCAAAGTGCAAAAATTCACCAGATATGGCTCCGTGTGACTTTTTCCTATTCCCAAAGTTGAAGAGACCCATGAAAGGACGGCGGTTTTCCTCGATTGAAGAAAATCGCTGAGAGTGCTCAAGGACATATCAAAAAGTGAATATCAAGGGTGCTTCGAAAATTGGAAAAAACGCTGGCATAAGTGTATTATATCTGGGGGGGACTACTTTGAAGGGGACCACATTAATGTAGACGAATAAATAAATATTTTTTTGAAAAAACGAAAATTCCGGGTACTTTTTGAACAGACCTCGTATAGCTTGCATGTAACGGTATATAAGATTCATAACTATCAATAGTGAGAAAATAATTATCATTAAAGTTAAAGTTTTGATATGACTTGTGGAGTTAATCAAGTTTTCAACTTTTTTTAAATTTTAAACTTTTTTTTAAAATTCGGATCTTCATTGTAGTCACACTTAAATTGTATATCATTGGTTTGGACCTTTCTATTCTAAATTCAGCGCATTTTAGGCCAATTTTCTGGACACCCTGTGATGGTTACTTTTCTGTTATTGATTTATTGTTCTAAATAAATAAAAAATAGATAAAAAATCTTAGTGAAGCATTCGGCTTAGCTACAATGGCTCTTTTTTCTTAAATGTTTTTATTATATTGTATCAACTATCTGGTAAAATTATGTCTCGATTTTTTTTCGCACGTGACTCAATAATAACAAAATCTTGAGTTAATAGATTAATAATTATTTTCACCGACCAGAAATTTATTTTTAATTAAGTTAGCTCTTATTTCCGTACTTCGAAAAAGTTTCAATAAACTTTAGGCAGTTTTAATATTCTTGTTTTGCTGGGTACACGAATTTTAGTATGTTATTTTTTCAAAGTTTGTAACGTCTTCGATGTCTTTTATACTAGATGAATTTTTTTCGAGACCCACAACACCCTACAGTTCTGTGTTCTTATTCGTAATTCATGAATTTGAAACCCGAAATCCAACCCAACCAGAACATATACACTACAGAATGGAGTTAATCAAAATGTCTTCTGAAATAAATGACTTATGGATTAAGTGGTCAAAAAAAAATTTCGTTTCACAGTGGCAATTTTTATTATTTTGGAAAATTATTATAATCATAAAAAGTTATGATTATACCAAGTTCTTTCCCACTAATATCTCAGTTTTTTCAAAAATAGGAGTTAGTCGTTAGTGTGCACTGAGCGGCTCTATGTTGTTGACTCACAGCTTATAGCCTTGCAACATTGTATGCAAGTCAGTAACGGTTACTTCGACGACAAAATCACAAATTGCGTCTCAAATAAACAGAATGAATCATTCCTAACGAAAATTTTCTAGAAGGATGGTTACGTCATCATCAGAGATTATGAAAGCTAGAGGATGACTAAACCAACCGTTCATTCCTAATCTAGTTTCCAATCACTTCACATCAGTCTTCACTTCAATATATTAATTGTGTATTAAGTTGTAATCAAGTGTAACCGAATAATGAAGTAAAAAAAGTTAATAAACGTCTTCAAATGTTTAATTAAATATTTTCACAGTGATAAAAGCTTAAATGTTAGCAGCAGAAGAACCTAATTATAAATGTTGACATCGTTGGCGTGACGCAACATAATTGTTGGTAACGGATCCACAACATATTTGTTGTTAGCTCAAGGGTGCACAACAACTTACATGTATGATGACAATCTTCAATCTTGACCGCATTTATCAAATATCCTTTACAATAGCCACAAGTGAGTGCCCGATTAATATCGCTTAACCTAGGCCTAGGTTCGCTATCTGCCACCATCAATACGCGATCGATTGGTCGCTGAGCAATGGGATGTTGCCTGGCCGCCCCGTCGCCGGCCGCGCCGCTCGCCTCGCCGCTAACGTCGCCGGTCGTCATCATGATGCTCCTGGAGGCACTCGCGACACTTGGTGTGACCGCCGCCACTGCTCCCGCCTGCGGACCGGAGCTGACAGCACCGCCGACCCGATTAACCGACGCCGCCGACGCGTACATGCCGAGCGTATCCCTGTAAAGGAAATAAATTCATTAAATAATTGAAATGAAAAAAAAAGATTTTAGTAGCATAAGCTAGTGGTACATGGCATAATCAAATATTTTTAAATGCTTAGAAACGAAAAATTAGGTTCTTTGAACATTTTTAAAATTTAACTAGCTGTAAGTGGAATTCTGTCTTAAGGCAATTAAGGCATCGTGCCTTAAAGCAAATTGCTGGAACTTCCCGTACCAATAATTATTATTTTTTTAAAAGCGATTAACATTTTTGAAAAAATTTTACTTCGAAAAAATTTGATTTTTGAGAAACAAAAAAAAAATTGTTTGAAAAAAAGTTTTCTTTATTTTGGCATAGTTTGGAAATTCTGAACTTTTTTTCAAAGCAATCGTACTGCTTTACCTGCATAGAGACGAAATGTCAAAAACCAAAATAAAATGTCTAACGGAAAAACATTGATACGGAACTGATAAGAATGTAAACAAAATTCATACTTATTGTAAAAATCTCTATAAAATATCTGATTGATGTGCATATGTCTGATTGATGTGGTCGCTGAGCAATTTGATGTGCATATGTCTAATGATCATTTTTGACCGGCAAATGACTTTGTTTTACTTTTCATTAGATATCTCCGAAACCGCTAGACCTGCCTTCATAAAAATTTGATCAATTCTTCATCTTGTCAATACAAGTAAAATGTTTTTTGAATTTTTAAAATCGGACGCTCCGTTCTCTTAAAAACCGTTATACCGTTTTTGGCACTTTTTGCCCCGTATCTTCGGAACGGCTAGACCTGTCTCCACCAAAAACTAATCAGCACGTCTCCTTATCAGTACGAATCGAATGTTTTTTAAATTATTTAAATCGGTTGAAGGGTGTTCTCGAAATCGTCGACGAAAATTTGTATCCGAATACACACACACACACACATACATCAATTTTTTCTAAGGTATGCCAAAATATTCAGAAACCTTTGAAACGTCAAGAAATGCAAAAATTTTCATTTTCGATTTTTTTGCGATTACTATAACTTACCCTACGGGAAGTTAAAAAATTTTGAATATAGAAAAAACTGAAAAAAATACTTCTTATGAAAATACTAATTTTCTTACAACTTAAAATTTTTGGGGTATTTTTTATTTTTTCATTTTTTTGAAAATATTGAAAACTTTATATATTGATCCGCCATTTACGTCGGTTGATCCAGATTATCAAAAATATCTCATTTTCGACCGCCAAATAGCATTTTTTAAAACTTTTTTCTAGATCTACGTAACCGCTAGACCTGCCTTTGCAAAAATTTAATCAAATCTTCATTACGTCAATACAAGTGCAATGTTTTACCAATCATTCAAATCGGATACTCCGTTCGCTCAGAAACTTAATTGCCATTTTCTGCACTCTTTGCTCCGTATCTCAAAAACGGCTGAACCAACTTTTGCCAAAAACTAATCAGCACATCTTGCTATAATTAGGAATTAAATGTTTTTTGAATTATTCAAATCGGTTGATCGGTGCTCCCGAAACGTGGACATATCAGTATTTTAGAAAAGAAGAATTGTTATATAATTTCATAGTTATAGATTATGATGATACAATGATTCTGATTGTATTGATCTGATTCTGATGTATGAATTTAGAGAAAAATCAATATTTTTGTAAATCATAGAGAAATTTATAAAACAATTATAATACTGCTGACTAATTTTTGTTGGAATTACTATTATAGTTACAAAAGATTGCTATTACAGTTTGTCAAAGAAAAGAAGAGAATAATAGGGTAGAGCAGGGCTTAAATTAAACTAATAGTTATTCTAACTCTGATGATGAATTCTTCTGACAAAAATCCGTTCGAAAGTTGTATGCAGTGTGATCTTTATGAAAAATATGCCCATGAAATATGTATTTCAAACAGAATTTGTATTTATCTCATTTGTAGTGATTGTATTTTAAGAAACAATAAGTATGATTATAATAAATTAAACAGAAATAACTACTAAAACAAGATTTATAAAGTAGTAAATTGTTTTATCTTGCCTATGGGTTAAAAAGAACCAGGAAACAAAGTTCTCAAAAAAAAAAACAAGAAAATCATATTTCACTAATGATGAATTAGTTGCGAGGTTTATTGTAAAAACTCTAGATAGTTATTTGTTTGATATGTGGTATTTGTTGTGATGTAATTGGTTTGGTTTTTACAATATAATTGCTCAAAGTCCAATTGGGCTTTTGTGCCCCACCCTATCTTATCTATAAAATATAAGGACGTTAATTAAAGAAGTTTTTTTTAAATGTATTATATCAGTGTATATAGTAGATATTTTAGTACAGTTGCATTAAATACGAATGCAATATTTTCCATACTTTTCAATTTAATCATAACATACATTCAGTGAATAATTTATATCAAATATAATTTTATTACTTCATCATCACCTGTTCGTTTCAAAACATATTTTCGAATTAGTGTTTCTACATTTGCTCACTTCAAAATTAAATCAAGAATCACACTCTTTTGTGAATGAATGTTTTGTATACAGAGAGTTGAGTCGAGTTGAGTTCTCAAAACGAAATAAACAATTAGGAAACTAGCTTCGTTACGCTAGTTAGGCACAGTGAATTGTCATTCCTCTAATGTAAGAAGACATTTGTATTTTTTAAAAGTGAATTTTATATTTTAAGGGACTTTATGTTCTCTATTTAGCTTCATAACAAAATTTAATCACACTGTACTTCCATTTTTCAATTTTTCAAAAATTTGTCATCTGATCCTTTTTACCCCATAGGCGAGTTGAAAGGAACAGCCAGGTGACAAAGAGATCCAATGCCTTATCTTTAATTTTAAAAGTATTTTACGAAATAATAGTTATAATATTCAACCAATGCTAAAAATTTAAATTTCGTGGGCTCTTTTTCACAAAGATAACACTAACACTTCGTCAGAAATATTCATCAGCAGAGTTGGATTTTTTTGTATTCAATTGAACTCGTCCAGGGGTAAGTGATTAAAGCTATGGGATTCGAATCAGAGGTCCCAGGTTCGATAACCGCCTAGAGCAGCCTGGTGTCAAGCAGCAGGAGTATATCAAAATACCTCTAACTCAAAATTACTGCATTAATAAAAAAAGTTATGACTATTGCAGAAATTGTAATAATAAAAAAATAATAATATAGAGATGGGAGAACTAGTTAGGTTATCATCTATAAAACCAAGTTAGTTAAATCCTATCATCAAAACTGATCACAGAACCCTGAACCCTGAAAGTTCTGATCGCTGTTTAAATAATAATAGAAAAATCAATCGCCTAATTGGTACCTTCAAATAGTTACTAAGTATGCAAAAGTATCCATAAATAAATGTGGTTCCTATTCGCCAAATATAAGTTGTTCCAAATCATACATTTAAAATTTTAAGGCACTATCGATACTAGTTACTGCTTTCAGAAAACTTGCCTTCCACAAATACCAGAAACGCTTTTGACAATATTGTATGTCTCATTAAAAGCTTTCGTTTTTATTTTGTAGCAGGTACTAATATAAGTTATGTCTTATTACTAATAAAACACATACTAAATGGAAAGCATTTGCTTTAGGCTAAAGTATTCCTTCAACTAAAACCAGATGCTAACTGAATCTAATATCTACTAATTACTTCACCATGTCCCTATATTCAGAGCTTCTCAATATAACTAACATTGTGGGAAGAGAAATATGTGAAGGAATTTACATCGTAAAAAAAAGTTGTAGGATTTTTTTTAACGAATTAAGACGTTTGTAAACAGACAACTTGGATCAATAGACAGAAAGTAAAACTTTGATAGCAATACACTATTTATACTGAGTTGGCAAGTATTTTTCCCAGTATGTGAAAATCAGATGTAGTATCTATCAACAATTTTATTTTACTATTGCATTACTATTTACCAAATGTTTGAGAACTATTGACTAACAATTATCCATCATGGATTGTTCCACGCGGTCGCGTTTGTGATTTGGCGCCACATTAAGCGCCCTCCGCAGCAAAGACAAATCGGCCTCAGAGTTATACACAAATATATACAAATACACAAGATGATATGCGATAATGGCAGTTTGTTTGCGTTTTCTATTTCTTATAATAATATGTGCTTTAGTTTAAACACACGGCAGAACGTGTTCTTGATATTAATTAGACCGCTAAGCAGCCCCGCTAAGATGGATATGAACGAGGCAGCATACCAGACGTAAGGTGCGTATTCGAACCAGGAATATATATATATATATATATATATATATATATATATATATATAAATGAATAAGATGATTTAATTGCTAATCCCAGCTTACAAGAATTAATTAGCAAACTACATGAGCAATTAGTTAATTCAACGACTAGTTATTGATACACGACCTTGCCTCTTCTAAAGCGTTTTCTAGGCGATTTTTAACTGGATCATTTTTTTATAACTATCAGACGAACATTTTAATACCGTATCTATATTATGAGATGATTTAATTGTTAATCTTGGTGCATAAATATTAGCAAACAAATTAAGAGCATAGAGTCTTGAGTGACTTGACAATTTACAGAATGTAAAGCAGGCATTAAGAAATTAGAGACAAAATATTTATGATTAACAATCTTTCATCCTCTTAAGCGTTTTAAAGTCGATTTCATTGAAATCATTTTTAAATATTCATCAGATACAAATATCAATACCCTATCAGTATTATATATGAGATGATTTAATTGCTAATCTAAAATTAATTAATAAAACAACATAAGCGATTAGTAAGTTCAACTGTTATAAATGCATTGCATATTCAATTTACAAAAAATAATCAAGTATTAATTAAAAAAGTATTTGTTATAGTAAACATCAAGAAATAATAGATAAAAATTTTATACCTGACTACCTTGCCTCTTTTCTTAAGCTTTTATCATTAAGGTGCCATAAACAAAAAAAATGTAGAAAATACAACCAGAATTATTTTCACAAAATTTGTTCTAAACTGAAAACTTGTTCTTATC